TAACATAATATACAGAGTGGTTGGAAATAGTCAGTCACACATTGAGTAAGACCCTATTTCAGATGCCCAGATCTGTGACCTTATTCCTCTGGCTTTGAAAGCCTTTGCTAGATAGGTTTCACGCCACATAAATTCAGAATCCTTAGGAGTCTTAAAGGCTGGTAAGAGTCAAGCTCCTCTATTTTCTAATATCAAGTTCATATTCAGTAGAGGGATTTCAGCTGGACACAGAGACAACTGAAATCACCATCTTAGACTTAGTAATAGCCCTTTGGGAAGGCTTTGGAGGACTCCTCAAAGAAATTTGCTCAAAGTCTGCCCTGGAAGCCTTTCAGTCACACTCAGTACTGGAAAAGGTTGCTGGTTATGGACAACCGCTTTCATTTTGCCCTGGTTCAAAGGCGTTCACCACAGGCCTGCAACTTGTGACTCCAACTTGCCTTTAATTTATAGCCAAATGGAGGTTGTTAACCCCAAGTAGTTTTTTAAACTTTCAGATGCAAAGGCTGTATCATATCCTGAGTTTCCATGCAAGAGGATAAAGACAGTTAAAACACAGGGTGTGAACATTTATGGGGACCAATATTTTTAATTGAAAGAATTATTATTTTAGAGCCCTTTGCTATCTGGGAGCCTCAAGTTGTCAAACTGTAATTGGTCTTTTCTGAGTTGATAGATGCTCTGGTAGGGGAGAAGTAGTTCCCAACTCTCATCCATAATTATAAAAGAGAGCGTAGTAGGTCTATCTGAGAAGGAGGGGCGAGAGATGGAGGCTGATAGAGGAAGGGTTGAAGAGAGAAGGAGAGCTTTTCTGTAACTCAATAGGAAGTAAAGGAAGTGAAACCAAAACAGAATTCTGAAGAAATCTAACAGGAATGTTGGACTTAGATTATGCTAAGCAAATAACAAAATCCTGTTGCCATTTTACAAACTATTCCTAAATCCCATCTTGCTGTCTGAGCAAAAATTTGCTCCTGCTAGTCATTCCAGTTCCAGGTGACTGACCCTAAACTCAGAGGGTGGGAGGGAAGGGAGATGAAGCAAGATGTTGCTTTTGACAGCAGTTCAGGCCTGATTCAAGCTGTCTTCATCTCTGCCCAACTATCTAAAGCATAAGATCCATTTCATTGCACTTTGTTTGATCCCTGTAGCTCTGAAATGGCAGAAAGTCCTGACGCTGGCATTGGGAGGAGACTCTCAGGGGCTGTACCCAAGGTACTTTTACAACCACAGCACAGTATTTGCCCTGGGTTGTAAACAGTCAATATTTTTTAACTACCCAATTGAACCTACTAAGAATAGTAAGCAAAAACAATGCTTTAAGACTTGAATGATTTCCCCATTCAGAGAAATCCTTGATTTTTTTTTATTTGATTTGAAAGTACATGGCTCGATTTTCTTCATGGTGTTTCAAATTTACTATAGTAATATTCACAGCTATTTTATACATTTTAGAGTACTCACCAGACAGCCATTTTACAGTGGAGAATCTATGATAACTTGAGTTTTGTCTAGAGGATTCTGCAGGATCAACATTCCTGGGTATAGGGAGCAGTAACTTATTTCAAAATAGGAAGCTTGTAAGAGCTGACATTTTGGCTCAGAAAACCCCAGAACATTGGGAAGCTGAGGTGAAATTTCAAAGGAAGGATATGTGGTGGGGAAATTTGCTGGGAAGCAAAAACCCTGTTGTTTCATGTGTATATAAGTATATGCTTGCTTGCATATCTACTCTATATGACAGTAAAGCATGTTCTTAAACATTTTGATTAGATCATAGGACTCTTTAATAGTTGAGTATCAGGTCTATCTACCTTCTTAACCCCATGTTTAAATTACAACTGTAACATCCTTTCCTGATAGTGATCTACCTCTAGGGACACAATTAAAGGTCATTCCATTTTTTGAAGTTTTTTTGAGAAGTATGATGTTGTTTAAATAATGTCTTTTAACGTTAGGTAGAGATGAATTGGTGTCCAGGATCCACACTTCACTGGATGATATTATGAAAGCTGTCTTCTCTCTTTGGACTTCAGTTAGCAAATTCGCTCACACATATACCTTTATCAGAGCTCATAGAATGACTCAAGATCTTATAAGAAATCTTTTTTTAAAAAAAACTCATGTTATTTTATACTTGAAGAGAAGGTATCCTGCATGCTTCTTGTGTTTGCACCTACTTGGATTAAAAATATAAAGCAAGTTGGCAGAATATGCTCTCTACAGACTATGTTCTCCTCTTAATGAAGGACAATCAAGACAATTGTTCAGTTTTCATAGTCAATGTACTATAGGCTGAGTAATGAATAGTTTGAATTTCATAGTACATATAATGCTCCAAGTAAAATCCTGGGTTAAAAATTAAGACCTAGTACTGAGTACTGGCAGAGAAGCACTGCTTGACTATTAAGTACTATTCGAAAAAATTTTAGTCTTTGTTTAGTTAGTATCTTCCAAGCTGGGTGCACTCCCTTTATAACCATACCTAATCAGTTCTATAGTTTTTGTCAATGTCTTCTAAGATCTCAAGCCACAAAGACGCCCCAGTGATGGCTGTTTTTAACAGTAGAAAGAGTGTTTTCTTATTCTGTTTCTGCAGTTTTACTCATGCTGTGCCCAAAACTTGGAATGCCATTTAATTTTCCTCCAATTCAACGTAAATCCTATCCATTCTTCAGGGTAATATTCAGTTTCAACTTCCATCATGAAGCCTTTCTTGGTCATTCCAAAACATGATGCTCTTTCCAAACACATGGAATTGATCATATGCATAATAACATTTACCCCACTCATTATGAAAATCCTTTTAAAGAAATTCCCCATGTGTGGAATACCTACTATGTGCCAAATTCTATAGGGAACACAAAAATTTGAATGGAGTCTTGAAATGTATACATGGGCAGAGCTAATTATTTGGGCTTAAAACAAAGCCATAGTAATGGATTATCATGAATGCTTTAACTGGCTTCTACCAATAGGTGCATGTTTATGTTTATGTGAAGCGTAGGCAGCTTCGATATATTTATTTATTCTTCTCTCATACACTAAAAAACAAAGATTTTTTTCATTGCTAATCTCATTTTTCTAATAAATGAACAGCAATACTCTATTTGGTGATTATCTAATAGGCAAAATGAATGACAGCAGTATTGCAAAGAATGAGAATAGTTGGGGAATATTGTTGTAAGATATTTGGAATACTTGTGAAGTGGTGCAGTGTTCATTGAAAATGGAATTTGATCAGTTAGGAATTTATATTATAACATCAATGGCAAACAGTAAATGTGAGGCTGTGATGTAGCTAGTGCAATACCCTGGGTTTTATCTCCAGCAGTTAGTAAAAAGGAAAACGTATAGCTTACACACTAAGAAGTGAATCAAAATGTAAGAAGTGAAACAAAACAGAATCATATATTGTGTTTAACCAAAGGCAGGAATGGAGTAGAAGGAAAGTGAGACCAAGAACAAGGAAACAACTAGAATGGAGAAATAGTAAGAAGTGTGGTAGACACTAATCCAACTTCATCAGTGGTGATTTCAACATCCATTAGTTTAAGTAGGGGCTGGAGAGATTCTCAGTGCTTAAGAACATATGCTGCTCTTGGAGAGGACCCAAGTTCAGTTCCGAGCAACCACATCAGGCAGCTCACAATGGCTTGTAACTTCAACTCCAGGAGTATTCAACCCCTCTGGACTCCACAGGCACCTGCATTCATGTGCATATATCCACACAAATACATATAATAAAAGTTAATCTTTAAAAATTAGAGGTTTTCATTGTGGTTTAAAAAAAAACAAGACTCAAAAGTAGACAATGTTGCTATTGTATTTCAAGATTTTCCTTAAGTCTATTAGTTCTTGAGAGATCCAGTAGGCAGAAAATCAGCAAAAATATAGTCATACTGAACAGGACCACCAATCAACTCGATTTAGCTGACATCTATATTTCAACAACAGAGTATATTTCCCTTCATACATCTCATGTATGAAGATGTTATAATGAATATTACTTTGTATAATTAATATATACTAATAGAAAGTTCAGACAAAATATGAAAAAAAGGTAATGAATGACTGAAATCTGAAATTAAGGAGGAGGCAAAGCTATAAGTCTCGTGGATAATAAGGAAATGTTATAACCACAAATTTGATAACCTAGATGAAATATACCATTCTCCAAAAGACAATCTACCAAAACCTTTAATATCTAGCCTAACTAAAAATTTAGTTCAAAAAAGACCATCTATCAAAACTGAAAGGGAATTGATTATTTGAAAGGCCCTTATCTACTAAGAAAATTAGTTTGATAATAATCTCCTTAAAAGTATCAGACCAAGGTGTATTCATGGATGAATTTGACCAAAATTCCCTGAAGAAGAACCTATACCAATCTCTATAGCCTACCTAAGAAAGAAAACAGAATCAGAGGGGTACACCCTAATTCATTTAGTAAGACAACATAGTATAACAGAAAGAATCTAGGTCATGGCTTAACAGTGCTGAGTTCTATCTAGTCTTGACCTCAGTTACTTACCAGTATGTGCAAATCACTGAACCTCTTTCAGCTTCACACCTTATTAGTGAAGTTCAGCAAAGAAGCTAGACATGGAGGCACAAACCTGTAATCCAAGTACTCAGAAGGAGGAGGGAGGAGGGTCGGGATTGCAAGGCCAACCTGGAATACATGATACCCTGTCTTCAAAAAAAAAAAGTACATTTGACAATACTTTTAGGGATTGGATTGTGTCCTCCTTCAAATTCAGTTTGGTACCCTAGCTCCAATGTGACTATATTTGGAAATAGGGGGTTTAAGAAGGTAATAAAGGTTAAATGAGATCATATTAATGGGACTGTAGTTTAGTAGAACTGCTATCTTTATAAGAAGAGAAGAGACATCAGATCTCTCTCTCTCCCTCTCTCCCTCCCCCTCCTCCCCCTCTGGTCCCTACCTCCCCATCTCCCTCTTTCTCCTCCCCTCTTCTTTCTCTGCACAAATACAGAGGAAAGGCCATTTGAGGACACAGTGAGAAGATGATGATTATCTACAAGCCAGGAAAAGAAGCCTCACCAGAAACCAATCCTGACACACTGAGTTTGGGGTTTCAGCCTCTACAACTGTGAGATAATGAATGTGTTGTTTACAGGACACTGTCTGTGATATCTTGTTATGATGGACCAAGGGGTCTAATCTAACTATTCCTTAATATTGGGAACACTACTTAGAAGCAAATGATCTTGGAAAATGGTAAAGTCATCTGTGTTTGCTATTCCTATCCCCCGCCCGCCCCCTGCCCTTTTCACCGTTGAGCCATTTCAAACTGTGATAGGTAATTTACACTGTATGCCTGGGACTCATTGCTCTTTAGCGTTTAGCATTTGATTTCCAACATCATGGTTAAGGTCTGACAAATCCTGTCCTGATAATACACAACAGAGAGTTACACAGAGAAAGGCTACAGTCCCAAATTTCAGTCCACAGAGTATTATGAGCTTGGGTAGTGCTGATGGAGCACTCTGACCATTGGTTTAAAGACTATTTTTACTATTCTGTAGAGTGCAGTTTAGAACTGAGTTACAGAATAGAGTATATCTCCTTAGTCTCTCCATTTGGTCTCTCTTCCCTCACTAATTCCAAAGTATGCAAGCTATATGCTTTCTAGTTTTTTTTTCCCTTCACAGCCATTATCTAGGCACCAAAAACAGAGATGGAAAGAGACGGGTTTAATCCAAAGCACCAGTTTCCATTACCTTAAGCTGCCTCAATGATTTTTCTGATGGGGTGAAATTTCTTGCACTTGGTCTCAGGCCCAAGGTATATGCAATGCTTCAATGAAATTGCCTTCGACACCTTGAAGTGAGTGCCTGGGAACTATGAGTTCGTCCAATAGTAAAAGAGAAAAAGACTCAGAACTTCTTGTACAGGCACTGGACCAAAGAGGGGATAGCTTTCAAAGGTTTCACTTGCTATGGAGATCTACTCTGATATTGAAAGTGTTCTGTTCGGTGAAAGACACAAAGACACATACTCATAGCCTATGTCAGAAAGTGCATATTCCACAAGCTTCATGTGAAACCCTCCACATTTTGATGCCGACTTCCCTTTCCTGTCTAATCTCCTGTTACACCCCCCCACTTAAGTTGAGTTCCTTATTTGTTTCTTTGCTGTTCAGTTGTTGACCACATAGTAGGCCTTGGGGCTAGAAAGATAATGCTTATCTACAGGCCCTTCTTCCACATACCCAGGAGCTCATAGGCTCAGAGGGGAACCTTTAAAGTATCTCGTATGGTTAATGGCATTGCAGAAGCTTGCTTTGCATAGAGAAGTCACACATGATGGAATTCCATTTATAACAGCCTCATAGAATGATAAGGGCCATGGAGCAGGCTTCTGCCACATACAATACTAAGTCCTATGTCGGAGCTCTCTTGCGTGGGATTTGAGCAATTCACTTCTTGGAACATATGCAGATATAATACGACTTTTCTGCTTCACCATAGGGAAGAGTTTAGCAAACTCAAGGAGTAAGATACAATCATCAGTGAATTTTTCTCTCAGCAGTAACTCTTTGTCCCTGGGCAAGATGTTTGGTTCTCATGTCAACATTCGGAAAGGTGTGGAAAGTGCTGACAGTCCAGCACACACGCATGCAAAGGGCATACCTTTAACCATCTGGGAATAACAGGTGCCCAAGTTCTACCCATTTCTCTTGATGTCCCAGTTGACAGGAAGAAACTTGGTGTAATGGAGATGTGGTTGTTCCAGATGAGGAAAGAGAAAGGCATTGAGGAAATGTGTGCCAAGGGCTGCTGCATATCAAGGGGACTTGAGATGGCAGCTATTTAGGCTTTGGCACTGTGCCTTGTTGGTAGTGAGCCCTGTTCCTCCAGGGATTTTCAAAGCAAAGGTTAGGGATGAGATGTAAAGATTAATCAGAAAGGCTGCTCCCCAAATGGAGGCTTGGTGTTCAGAAAAGAATGTTTGTAAGGTCAATATAAGACACCTAGATTTTAGTCCTAGATCTGCCCTTGACTTGTGGTCTGACCTTGGGCAAGCCATTTCTTAGTTTTGGATCTCAGTTTATTTGTACCTTAAAAAGTTTGTTTGGAGGCCAGATGTAGTGGTGCATACCTTTAATCCCAGCATTCAGGAGACAGAGACAGGTGGATCTCTCTGAGTTGAGGCTAGACTATATAGTAAGTTTCAGGTCGGCCAGGGATACATAGTGAAACTCTGTCTCAAAAAAATTCGAGTGGTTTTAGGCTGGGGATGTTGCCCAGTTGGTAGAGTAGTTTCCTAGCATGTACAAAGCTCTATGTTCTATCACCAATACCACATAAACAAAGCATGATGGTACATGTCTGTCTATAATCCTAGCTCTTGGGGGGTAGAGGCAAGAGAATCAGAAGTTCAAGGTCACCATCAGCTACATTTTCAGTTTGGGGACAGCCTGAGATATATGAGATACTGTCTCAGAAACAAACAGACAGAGTTCAGTTTATCTCTGAGGTGTCTTCTCATACTGACCTTCAGTATTTTTGGTCCCTCGGGTTCTCTAGAGAAGGAGCAAATGCCAAGACAATTAAATCTAGACTGGAAGTTACAGAATATGAAAAGAATAAAAGAAAAAACTTTAAAGCACAAAACCACAAAATACATCATGTTATTGGTATTCTACTCCGTGCATTTCCCACGATAAGTATTTGTCCTGTTGTTCCCGGGGAACAATTGAAATGTCTTGGGAAATGCAATTTTCATTGTTTTAGTTGTATCTCCTAAATTGCCTCATTCAACCAGGGAAGATTTCAGCAAGTTTTTCAACAAGAACCAGTGTCGAATTTTTGTTTCAGAAAATATGGTCACCATAACTCTGTAGCACTCACCTTATCTTCTTTTCTAGGTTTTTCTCATACATAACAAGTTTTCCATCTGTGTAAGTAATGTCCAAGGAAATGGAAACTGATTAATATAATCTGTTGGGATCATTTGTTACTCACATGTTACATGTGTTTGGAAATGTAAAGAGTCATTCTTCAATACAGATATTACATGTATTGTGATTGCTTACAATAGATGAAGAGACCAGTTAGGTTCTCCTCCTGTAGCATTCTGGAGATAGAGGGCAGAAGAAACTGGGCATCAGGGGAATTTAGCAGTAGAAGCGGGAAGGCAGAAGTTTCAGATATCCAAGTTTGCAGCCTCTGCTGATAGTGACTGGGAACCAGCAGATTTGGATTTAGGTAAAGGAACATGTAAGCTATGCCTGCCTGGACGTCTGTCTCCAGCCTTGACCTTTCTTCTGGGTCAGAGAAGAATTTTAAAATGTTCTAGTTCTCAGGCTGGCACCCTTAGCGTATTTCTCCTCTCCCCAAGACCAGTTCTTCTCACTGTTCCTGCTACTGGCACTACTTCACCTTACCAATCACTGACAATGATAAAAATGGCGTTTACATTTTTCCATTACCCTGATAAATCTAGTTGGTTGCTAAGTTGTGGTACTTTTCCTTCACAGTTTCATCTCCCAACAGGCAACCTCTTCCACATTTCACTACAGCATCCTTTATTAGGCCCTCATGACTTCTCATCGAACATGTGTGACTCATTCTTACCCGGTTCATTCTCTCTAAACCTTATCTACTCAATCAATCAGGATACAAACACACATATAACCTTTAGCCTTCTTTCTTCCCAATTGTTAGGCTAAGTGTATGGAGAGGTGATTTTCAGTGGTGCATATGCATTTTGCATTGAAGAAAGGAAAGAAGGGATTGTTTTCTCAAGACTATTTGGAGGCAATTTCAGTAGTCCATAGCGGCGTAAGGAAATACTTGCTCCTAGTTAAGAATTATATTTTATCTTGAAGCACTTTCACTGTCTGCTGTGCCTCTGAACTTGAATGTTCAAGCAGGCCTGACACCTGTAGTTCTCCCTGCCCACAACACACTGGTATTCTTCATTTCTTTCTGTGGACACTTAGAACTGCTGAATGCTTTTGTGTTGCTTTTTACCCCCCAGCCTCATCTGATCTTTCTCACAGATGTCGGGGATTCAGGGATTCCCCATAGGTTTGAGTGTCTCCTCCCTCATTACTGGCCTTGGCCTCTTCCCACAGCCATGTTTCCATCACTCACATGGACTTGGCCACGTGGCAGCTTTGCTGATGGGCTCTTCAGCCATCTCCCACAAACCCAGGCCAAGAGGTGACATTCAATCTATCCTCAGTGTATACCTCCATCCTGCCAAAGCTGTAAAACTGTCTGGGATTGTAGTCCCTTCCAGTTATGTGCATGAGGAGGTGCTTTCCAAAGACATTGATCAATTCCCTAAAGATCCCATGGCACAGCAGGTAGAGCTCCTGTGGTTTGCCGCAAGAAAGCCAGACCATAGCAACAAGTGCCTCAGGCTCAGCACTCTGAAACCCTCTCGAATCACAGGGCTCGAGAAGACCACTGGGTCGTTTGGAACTTGTCCCAAACACAATTAAATATCCAAGCAAAGGGGGAAAGAATTTTTGGAATACAAATGGCCTAGCTCAGTGGGGTTGATGGGGTGACCCATCCAACCGGCGCTCCCATTCCAGTCACCACAGATCTACCATCTCCTCAGTGGGCCTGCTGGAGTCAGCCTTGTCTGCATCCAGGGGCAGCTCTAGTCGGCTTGCCCAGTATCCCAGGCATGTGCAACACTTCCACCTAACTCAAACCACATGCAGAAGATCATGTCATACTTGGCGCATAACCAATCGAGAAAGGCATCAGAGGGTGTCCAGACCTCAGCTTGTTTGAACAAATGTTCAAAAAACATTTCTGAAGGGATATTCCAGAAAAACATACTCACTCAAGGTCTTAAAAACAGATGTTCAGGCTCTAAGATTGGGTTGCTTTGCAGCTACTATTATCAAATACAGTTAAGTAGGACCAAATCATTTTAGGCTTGAACGAGGGTATATGTTTAGCTTTCTTTTGTATCTTTATTTTTGGCCATGGGAGGATGTGTCAGAGGGCAGAACATAATGCCTAGAGGCAGCATGCTGTTGTGATTCACTCTCTGGCACTGGAGTCAGGCAGGCAAAGGCTTTGACCCCTGACTAGCTTGGTGTATTAACCTATCATAGACTCACATTGTTTAGCTACAAAACTAATGGCAATGTTGCTGACTCATTACTTTTGTCAGGAGAACTAAAAAAATACTACATATATACGTATGTGTACATATATAGTGTATACCATGGATTAAGCACTCAGCCAGTCCAGCACTGTTATCAACACTATAACCAGCAGAGCTTTACTATTTACTATTACTACTTTTATACTAGTAGCACTGCTACTGCTGCTGCTGCTGTCTCTAGGACAGGATCTATTCCCAAATTAGATGGGGAGTTGAAGAGGGCCTCGGCTTCGTTTTTTCTAGTCTATGGAGTAGGTAAGCATACCAAGGAAGAAGACCGCAGGACTTCTAGTTTGAAAGGACGGGAAAGAGAGCAGTGCACAGATCTTGTAGTTTATTTTCATTATCTCAGACCAAAGCTCTTCCATCCTTCATTAGTTTGCTATGTAACCTATCTCGAGCCACTTTCGGTAATGATGTTTCACTAGTTACCCTTGAACATGAAACCTTGTGGCACTTGTTTGCAGGTAAGCTGACCTATGTCAGAGGCCTCGTCTATGACTGGTATGTGTATGAGCAACTGGTCCAAAAGAGGCAAGGTACTAACTTCTTTTAATGGCTCTAAGCTACCTAGCTCACAATCCAGATGTATGCTATAGCCACCACCAGAATCTTTGTTAGCTACTGGCAAACAGTGGTATGCTGGGCTCACTGCTAAAAGGAAAACTTTCCATATAGCCATCATTTGTACTTCACTTTTCCATTAATACTTGCTGTGCCATGACAGCTATTTTATTTTACTTCTATGCTTGGGATATGATCCCAGGGACTAGTATAGGCTAGGCAAGTGCTCTATCTATCACTGAGCTACATCTCAAGATGGATCCATAACTCTTTAAGAAGTTTATCCATCTATTCATACATCCATCAACACCTCCCCCCACATCCATCCACCTGCCATTCAACAGGTATTTATTGAGCAATAACAACATCCAAAACATGGTTGTAGGTGCTAACAATAAGTCAGTGAACTGCTGTTATGAAGCTTACAGTCTAGCTGCTTGGTCTAGCCAAACACAGTATACCATGAAAGTTCATTGGAAAAGTTTAGTCTAGACTTTTGGAACAAATTTTAGTCAGTCCTTCTCAACTGGACAAGTCTTTTAGGGTGCTTGAGTGGAGAGTGAGGGACTGTCTTGCATCCAGCCTGAGCAAAGGTTCTGAGGGTGGCAGGGGACAGGGCTTTAGATACAAAGTGGCTGCATTTTGATTTCTAAGATTAATCTGGTTGATACAAATTGTGTACTTACTATGTTGAACGGCTAAGTTCTGAAATGTGATAAGAATACAATGTGGCTTTGTTATCGTCTCATTCATAAACTGGCTCAGAAGGCAGTTCTCAAAGCAGCGTTTCAAAAATATTCTGAACAATGGCAATATCAGAACATATTCTTAGGGGGACTGCTTTAGACAATTCAGTACATATCTGATTGTACAAATCCTGCTCTATTAAAAAGAAACATTGCTAGTAGCTAATTTATTAAAAAAACAGTGAAAAGAAAGAAATGTAGACTTAAATTTTTAATTCAATTATTGAAATATTTATGCATTATATGTTTGGATTTATGACTGCCATACAATTAATTCACTTTAAAAATAATGCAAGGAATTTTTCTTTGCACTTAGGTTTTTTCCAGTCAGTTCATGCATAGTCTTCTGCATGGGAGTCTTTGAAGCAAACAGCACAGGTGTTTAGCCATTGTCTCTTTTTTATGTAAAAGTCAATCTTCCCATTACATGGCAGGCCTGCAGAAATGCCTTCTGCTTTGAAGCCAGTGAGTGTATGACCAAGTTAACTGGTATTTTTGTTTTTCAGCGGAATGTTAAATCAGGAATTGTAAACAATTCCTAGGCAATGTGTATAATGTTCGTAAGTCATTCCTAGAAATTGTTCACAATGCCTGTAACATATATGCAGCTAGCAAGATTTCTGAAGTACATAGGAAGCCTTCAAGAAGCTAATTGTCCATTTGTAGGACAACTCTGGATCATGACATTTCTTGTAATCAATTCTACTTATTTATCTGTTAATTTGTCTAGATGTTAATAATTCTGATAATAGTAGTACTACTTGATTTCCATAGCTCCAAAGGATTTCTGCAATTTTTGCCAGTAATTTGGTGATACAAGGTTTTGGACATGCTTATTTTACAAGGCATTAGGAAAAAAAACAATAATTAGGAATAAAGGCAATTGTACTTGTCAGGTGAGCCAAGGTCCTGTCTAAACGTTCTTATTTTTTCACAAAAGCTTTAGGCAAAGCTTCCTTGCCTTTCCCATAGCTTACTTTCAGCCACTTTTTTATACTCTAATTCCCTTGGGCTTTCCTAAGTCATGCTAAAGAAACTTAATCATTTCTACCAGTCTTACTCTGTCATGAGATTTTCTTGCCTTTTCCTGTTCACTTATCTGCTAATGGAACTTGATATTCACATAATGTAATTGCTTAATCTATGTACTTGATTCCTATTTGTATTTACTATTTTGAAATGATCTGCCTATTGGTTTATATCAGCATTGCTGTGGGTTATATCTATGTAACTACTCTAAATCAATTTTGAGATGAAAGCAAAATGTTGAATGAGTTTTGGCCTTGAGTGTGATGATCATATCAAGTCACTGGTTGGGATTCTTTGCATGTTTACAGTTAAGTGAATTTACTTGACTTCTGATTGACTAGTGGAAAGGGACTATCCTAGGAGCCCATTCAGATGAAGCCAGGGAATGAGCTGGCTATGTGGGATGTGGGACTAAGAGATTGGGCAAAGCCTTTTGACAATTGATCTCAGCATCTAGTTCTGGTGCCAAGTAACTAGCAGATGTCATAAGATGCAGCTGAGCAATATTTTATAGTCATACAAATGGCCCTTTAATTTGCTTAGATGATGACCCTCACCCCAAATCCCATCCCTACTGTATCCAGATATGACCCATCTCCCAAGGCCAAACTTAACTTCTGTTAAATCCTGCCTAGTTGTATTGGTCCTCTCTGGTGTATCTTCTTTGAATGCCTCTAGACCTTTAAGGACATTTTGTCTCTGAAACTGAACTGCACTGATATAATTATGTACTGTGCATTTTTCATGGATGCCTTACACTTATGGTGACCATATTTTCCAACCAAAAATTAGAACATCTGAAAATTGAGGTGAGTATTTGAAATGAGCAGTCCTCTGGCAAACATATGCTTATTCCCTTCTGTGTCTCTGACCTGTTGAACAGTCAGCATTGACTATGACAACAGGAAGGCAAAGACAGACAGAAGGTAACATCTACCAAGTGGCAAGTAAAGGACACATATTTTTGGAGTGTCTAGTATAGGCAGGTATAGCTTAAGAGCTTTGTTATTATGCCTTAGGAATAATGCATTGGTCCTGAAAATAAAAGCAATGTAAGAAAAGAAGAGGGACAACAAAAGTGCCAATACTGAGACACTGTAGAAGGGTTGTATCATACAACCCAGCAGGTAAGAGAGGTCTCTAAAGAGGAGGCCTTGTGCTCAGAAAGACAAATAGAGAAGTTTTTCACTGAAGTTCTTAAACATATGATTAGACAGATTTTTTTAAACCAAATTCTGGGAGGCTTTGCATAATACAATTATAAATAAATTTAGGGAAATTATAACAATGGTGAAGAAATAGCACTTAATTGGGCTAGGTGTTACAAGCTGAGAATGCAGCTTGGAAAGAGTGTAGCTTCATTTAGGGCTAGTTAGTAAGTTCTGGTCCTGACTCATTAATAGAGGTTAGCAAATTAATCTTTTCTTGGGAAAACAAGCATCTAAAGTTACCCACATCAAACTTCTTGACTCATTTGGAGCATCTATGTGTAGACTCCTCCATGCTCCATTCTGTGGGACATCAAGAGAGAGACTGACTGGAATTAGTAGAGCCAAGGGCTTTTGAGTATGCAACTTTTACGGATTAGTGTGGTTTCTTCCTGTTGTGAGCCCATGGCAGACAGAGCGAAGAGTGCTACTTACTACTTTTTGCCCTGGGAAGCCTTAAGGGGGCACTGACTATTGACTTGATACTGCTTTTCCTCTAAAGTACCTATCTTTTTCTGCCTCATCTTCATTTTTATTCTCTTCCATTTTATGTCTAGCTGAGACTGAATTAAAGAACAGGACATAAGTTAGTGGGTAAAACTCAATTGCCATTGTTAGTTCTGGCCATGAGAGTTTCTCTCATCCAAGTCCTAACCAGGACCACCCTGCTTAGCTTCCAAGGCCAAGATCAACTGTATTCAGGTAGTATGTTTCTTAGTTCTCCCAGGTAGACTTGGCTGTAACTCTGTGTACCTGTTATCTTGGTTTTTTAAGTCTGGGATTCCACTTTGCATTGGTTCTATTGTTTGTGAAGTATGGTATCTAGCAGTAGACAATTGATATCAAGTATCATCTTTCCTTGTCTTTCTCTCTCTCTCCCTCCCTTCTTCTCTCTATTTTCTTTTGAGACAGATCTTATATGTATTAGGCAGGCCTCAAACTCCCTGGGCACCCAAGGCTGACTGTGTACTCCTGATCTTTCTGCCAATGCTGGGATTATAGGAGATGCTCCCATGCCCAGCATACATGTGGTCTTAACGGTTTAGAACAGAATATAAATACTGGATCACTTATGAGCATTATGCTTTTGTTCGTACAACCTAACTTTACATTTGCATCTTGAAGACTTCATGTTTCAACTTGAACTCACAATGAAAGACCTTGAACTCTTAGTCTTCACATTTTCTGGTGTTGCAGACTAAAGCTTCCTGGTCCCATCTTTGCACTCGTTAAACGACATGTGAGGATTGATATATAGAACAAGCATTTTGGAATTGCATAGAAGTATTTGAGGAAAAAATTAGCTCCCAGTACAAAGCCATTTCTTGGGCTGTCTGACAAGCAAACAATTGATGGAATTTTTTTTAGTCTTTGGCATTTTTTCCTACTTGCCACACCTCATTTCCTAATTTGAACCTTCAAATGCATTCTGTTTTTGCCCTGATGATAGCGGCTGAAATCTTCTGCCTCCTGTCTCTCTATACCTCCCTGCTATGAGCCTTAGGTTTTTTCCCTCTTGAACGCATTCAAAACCATGAAATAGTTTATTGTTATTCCTTTTCTCCCTGAAAAGAAAAGGTAGCTATGCCAGATAGTGCCAGACAGATGGGAACGTTAGTTCCAGGGTATGGGTAGATTACGTACAGGGTTAGTAAGGATAAGCATGTTGGAGTTACCCACTCTCAGGCTTTTACCAGAGGCTCATCCCATCTGATGGCTCCTCAGGAGGGTAAGTCACAAGGAATTACTGTAGCATGGATGAGTGTTACTGAACTCCTAATCAAAGTCCAGCTGGGAAGAGCAGCTGAAGAGAACTGGTCTTTGCTGGCATCCAAGAAAAATATGGATTTGGCCAGGTAAAGAACTTCTTGGCTATGATGGAATGAGTCAGGGTTAACAAAACCTTATACAAGGTTTTACCAATAGGCTAGCACTGTACATGTGTCAGGCCTATTCTCTTCTAGTGTTCTCTGCCTGGCAGGCAAGGCAAGGCAAGATAAACACCTGAATCTTTTGAGATAGATGGCTAAGTTCTGACATGACATCTCTCATACAATATATCCAATGAATCAGATTCTCTCTGCAATTACTTCAAGGTATTATTGCTTGGGAGAAAGACAAAAGAGTTACATAGTCTGTTCTTCATCTCTTTCTTCTTGGAACAGCCATATACCTTGTGTTCATGCTGTCCACCCTATTTCATCTATTCCTCCAACACTTAGGCTTACCCCTGTGCAGAGGGTAGATCTGAACGATGTGTTCTTGCAGAATAACATCTTTCCCAGAAACCTTATCGCAGAAGCCATTGGCCAGGTAGCCCGCCTCTGTTCTGTTTGCTGGAAGAGCTGCTTAGGTTTCCAGTATTACTATCCACTGGAGACTGGGCAGGACTGGGAAGCAGCTTTCCCTAGCAGAAGAATTGCATTAGGAAACACTTTGCTTGGAAGTTAAGGTGAGAAATCATCAGGCCAGAAAAGGGTATGTTCTTAGGATCCAGAACAACTATAAAGTCACTTTTCCCCCAAGGTACATTGCATTATTTCTTGGACTGTTGTATTGTGGGGGTGGCAGTAAGAGTGGGGGTGGAGCTAGGATGAGTAACGGTTTTGGAACATAAAGTCCTACAGTTTTTCCATTTTCTGTCTACCTGAGATGGAATTAAAGAGACCTAAAATAAGATAAAATAAAACTACTTCAAGAAGCTCCCCCAGAACATCATTTTTAATTCTATTATCTTTTAAAAGAATCTAATAAGAGTGTGAGTTTAATCTCTTCCTTGTGAAAACTCAGGTTTTCCCTGCTTCACAGGATGGGATAAGTTCCATGAGCTTAAGGGGAAATACAGAGCACTTATCTCCTTTCTTTCCTTCCTCTTAACTTCTCCCTTGCTGTTCACTCTATGTAAAGACATCTTGGGAATATGGCTAATAGTCTTAAAAGAATGTAGAAGCCACGGAACGAAGGATCTTAAGGGAGGGGGATTGGAAGAGAGCATAATGGAATACATGTGATTTTAAAAAATCAGAATAGGCAAACCATGTGGGAAAATTAAGAGAATCAATCAGAGTGGGTAGGGAACAAGGGGGTACGGAAGATGGAGAGGGGAATGAGTAAGAACAAAGCATAATGACACATAAGAAAATGCCATAATGAAGCCCATTACTTTATATGCTAAGTTAAAATTTAATTTTCAAAGAATGGAAATATTGACAACAGAGTGTGTGAGTTCAAATATTAGCTCAGAAACTTCTGATAATGAATAACCTATTTAATTTTCTTATACCTTAATTTCCTTTATTGGAGAGATAATAAGACCTACATTTTGGAGTTACTGGGTTAATTAAAAATGTGTCTTCTCCCCCTTCATAGATAGACATATACATGGGATCAGTGCTTGGATGCTCTGTTCTTCTTAGGACTGATTTTAGTCATTCAAGTTGGGCACAATTCTGAGGGAGAAGAAATCGATAATGTGGTTTCTTGCAGCCCCTTTCAAATGAAGAACTCTGGGTCTTTTAGAAAAATCCAGGTTGGTACTGACAAGATGGTTCAGGTGGGTAAAAGTGCTTGATACTAAGCCTGATGACCTGAATTCAATTCTTAGGACCCATAGGGTAGAAGAAAAGATCCAACTGCCGCATGATGTCCACTAAATGCCACACGTGTCCCTTCCACAAATAAATAAGTAAAATGAAATGATTTTTTTAATTAGAAAAATTTAGGTTTTACTTCTAGATATGTATTTAAGAAGAATTATTCAGGGCCGAGGATATATAACTCTGTGCTAGAACACTTGCCGGGTATTCACAAGGCCCTCAATACCCACCCCCCCCCCCCATACAACAGAGAGAGAGAGAGAGAGAGAGAGAGAGAGAGAGAGAGAGAGAGAGAGAGAGAGAGAGAGAAGAAAGGAGGAAATGAAAAAAGTAAAGAATTGCTCACTAGTGATTTCTCTTGAATACCTAAAATAGTTCCACATCTAGTTTAGGGTATGCGACCCAGCACGTTTTCATTGTGTGTTTCTTGAAATGAAGAATGAATGAATTACAGAACTTCATATATTACAGATTCTATTAGTTACAAGAGCTTTAAAAATATCTTGAGGCTAAGTGTATTCTCATAACAGTGGGGGAGGATGGTGGGACACATACCATGTGGTGGAGAGAAAGAGAGCTCAACTAGAGGAAAAGAATGGGTTTCAATTTCAACTTTGCTATGTACCACTTAGATATAGGTCAGCTAGTCACTGCATCTCTTAGGTCCTCATCAATTTATTCAGTAAGGTCAGGATAATAGTACTTTTGATACTTCTTTCTACAACAGTGAACCTTGTTCTTATTGGTAGTCCACATAACCCATTTTTATAGAGGAGTTCTCAGGCGAGTTAAAGGCTGTAAAGCATCTGGAGGGTCATGAAAGGTAGCTTAGACCCTTTTATCCTGACCTGTAGCTTCAGGCAATTGTTATTAATCATCATAATCTGAATAAGTGAATTAAATTATTAGGGCCACATTCAGACAGGCCTGGTGTTCTAGTTTCATTTTTGCTTCTGTGATAACCTGACCAAAAGCAACTCTGGGGAGAGAGGCTTACTTGGCTTACAATTCCAGGTCCATTCTTTCCAGGAAGTCAAGGCAGGAACTCAAGCAGTCAGCTTCATCATATCCACAGTCAAATAGAGAGTAATTCGGCAAGACACTGTCTCAAGATACAATTCTTATAACAGTTAGACTACTACTCAGTGGTAGAGCACTTGCCTAGTGTATGTATGCAAAGACATGCCTGGATTTGATCCCCAGCACAAACCTCCTGAGTTATAAATCCATGAATCCATACAATTAAATGTTCTTTAGGACAGAGCAGAGGAAAGTAGTAGACTGTAGAAACATGAAATGGGTGACAGTCCAAACAACTCCAATACACCATGCAAGGATGACTTCATACTATCCGAGGTTTGAGAAGTTATTTTCTTGGGTTTGAGAGTCTGCCCTATAGACCCACTGGGTGAGAGAAGCCTAACCTATGAGAACGAAGTGGTAGCTCAGCTCTCGGAAGCTGAGACAGGCTTGGCCCATGGACCTGTGGCCTGTGGCCTTTGGAGAGATTATTGGAACTACTAATCTCTTATTTGACTTTGACTCATTCTTCCCCATTTTTATTTAATTTTATTTTGAGACAGGGTCTCACAGTGTAGACCACATGGCCTAAAACTCAATATATAAACCAGGTTGGCTTTGAACTTATAGAGATCCATCTGTCTCTGTCTCCCAGGTGCTGGGAGTGAAGGTGTGCACCCCATATTTTGAAGAATGTTCCATATTTGCAGTTCAATAGTTGTGTCCTTTAAGCCGGGAATTTAAAAGTCTAATAGTTAAAAAGTCTAATAGCTTTCCTTCATTTTATATGGTCTCTGTTTCTTTTAATCCAAACTAGCAGTATTTCTGTTGTATAATCCATAATTTCTTCATCAAGTAATAGACTTTGATATTGTTTCTGGTTTTCCCTCTCTCAGAAGCTATTAATTGCCTGTAGCTCTTTGGCTAGGGATGGAGGCTTGTGAAATTTCCCACATCCAGGTTGGCAGGACAGGGGGTATAGACATGATGGAGGTCTTGTGCAGACAAACATACTGTTTAGATTTCATGGGTATATTATCCCTGTCAGAAATAAAAGATATTATTTAGCAGCAGCATCCTTTAATACAGCTGAGGAGGTAAGGCACTCACAGGTCTCCGCTTGTATATCTGGTAGATGACCCCAGCTAGGCCTAACCTAAGAGCATAGGTCAATGAGGGAGGATAAAGATCCAGAACACTCAAAAGCTGAGCTGGTTTACAGTCTGCATGACCCGAGACTCTCTGGGAGTCCCAATAGAGTAGGGTGACTGTAACATGTTGGGCCTGCCCTGCATGGGCTGTTGCACAGGCATTGGACGCCACATAGACACAAAGTATGTATGGGCAGACTTGCAGATGGCAAGAGACCTGGGCAGAACCCACGAAGAGCTGGCATGCAGACTACGAGATTCCAGCAAGGCCTAGGAGTGTCATGAAATGGGTGGGTCCTGTGGTTATTGGCCCCTGTCAGGACTGTATTGGGGTGCAGACTACATCAACCAGGGTTCTGTGTCAAAGAGGACGAGAAATCACGGGATCTGGGACTCTCCCCTCACTGGATGCTGTGAAACCAACAGAGACCTTGTCTTATCACACTGGTTCTCATCCTGTGGATAGAGACCCACCAGGGACCCTCTGAATCACAGATCTTTCCCTGGCGATTCAGAAGAGTAACAAAATTACAGTTACAAGGTCCCAACAACAATAATTTCATGCTTGTTGGTCACCACGACAGGACCACCTGTCTTAAAGGGTCACAGTAGCAGGAAGGTTGATACCCAGTGACTTGTGGTTTCAAAGAAGGTGGCATAGAGTCTGGTCACTCTCCATGATTGGAATGGGTAAGGCGCTATGATCACAGCAGGGCTCTCTGTCCTGGGAGAGTGGGGACAAGGGTGGCGGTTGATATTCTTGTCACTCAGGAGGCTTTGGTGTTGCACAGACTACTGGACCCTCTACGGGTTTCCGTAGTGACATAGATGTCATGGGTGAATGGAAGGCTACAGGTCGGCCATCTCCCAGGATGGTCTGACTGTGAGCCATAGGATCCCAGCTGATTCTGAATGATGAAATGTTGGGGGAAATTGGGGACTAAGAGCCCCAGCTAATTGGTCAGGTTCACAAAACTGTGCAACACCAGCTGGGACAGTGAGTGGTGGACAGGGCCAAGGAGGGAGGATCTGGGTCTCACTCTATTCTGGATTGGGGAAATAGTTGTGGGGCCCAGCAGAGCCTGGGATGGGGAACTCTAGGAGCATGACAGAACCCAGGCCTCAAAGCTGACTGGCCCAATGAACACGGTGTGATGGCCAGCAAGGCCCTGCCTTGTGGTGGTGGCCTGCAAATGTGTGTCTTGGTCTCACCTGATTGGACTGGCACACAGAACCTGTGTCCTCAGCTAGGCTGAGCACTGTGTAGTTAGGCAAAGTCCTATGTAGGACTAGAGCCCAAACCTAGCTGGTCTAGTACACCACGTGTGCATACCCATCTAGACTTGAAGAATGAGAACATGGCCTGTGAAGGCAGGTCTGGGCTCCTCACTTTGCTGGAATGGATCACAGGCTATGGCAGATCAGTGAGGCCTGGGACTATGTGATTGCATGAGATTAAAGGAGCTGAGGCACTCACATGTCTCTGCTTGGCTACCTGGGGGGATGGCCCAGCTTGGCCTATGAGCATGCAGCAGTGTGAGAGGATAAAGTTCTAGAACACTCCATGGTTGGGCTGGTGAGCAGTCTGGATGAACCCAGCACTTTCTGAGGATCTGGATAGAGTAGTATGACTGCTTCATGTTAGTCAGTCACCAGGACAGGTTTTTTTTTTTTTTTTTACACGGGCATTTTGATGCCACATATGAAGTATGAGCAGAGTGTAAGTAGGGAAGGGACCGGACCAGAATCCATGAGGTTCTGGCATGCAGACCACAAGATGCCAGCTAGGCCTAGGAGTGTAGCAAAATTGGGGAATGGTGGAGTCACTGGTCCCTCTCTGGACTGTTCGGGAGTGTAGCCTACCTCAAGTAGGCCTCTGTTTCAAAGAGGCCAAGGACTGGGGGGATGGGGGACACTCACCAGGCTCAGTGCTGTGAAGTCCAACAGAGACCTTGTCTTATGGCAGCGGTCCTCAACCTGTGGGTAGCGACCCTAACAGAGACCATCTGAAACAAAGTTATTCGGGTGACGATTCATAACTGTAGCAAAATTACAGTAAGGACGTCCCAAGCAAGTTTATTTATGGTTGATGGTCAGCACAACCTGAGGAGCTGTATTAAAAGGTGGCAGCAAGAAGAGTGTGGAAACCCACTGCCTTATGGTATTAAGGAAGGTGGGTTAGAGTCTGGCCGGTCTCTGGGATTGAAAGGTGTAAGGCCATAAGCCCACGGCAAGGTCTCTGTCCTGGGTGAGTGGGGACAATGGTGGTGGGTGATTATCTGGGTCACTCAGTAGGCTTTGGTGTTGCACAGGCTGGTGTACTCTACAGAGGCATCCATAGAGGATGTGCATGACATGGGTGAGTGGAAAACTGCAGACCACCTCCCAGTATGGTCTGACTGTGAGCACTAGGATGCCAGCTGATTCTGAATGATCAAATTGGGGGAAATTGGAGACAGAGAGACCCAACTAACTAGTAGGTCCCCAGATCAGTGCAACACCAGCTGGGCCACAGAGTGACGGACAGGGCCACAGAAGGTGTATCTGGGTCCCCCTCTGTACTGAGCTGGGGAAATATATAATTGAGGGACCCAGCTAGGCCTGGGAAGGAGGGATCGCATGAACATGACGGGACCCGGGCCTCAAAGCTTGGTGGCCTGATGCACAAGTTGTGATAGCCAAGCAAGGCCCCGCAGGTTGGTGGTGGTGGCCTGCAGATGTGTGTCTTGCTCTCACCTGGATGGACTGGCACACAGAACCTGTGTCCCCAACTCTTCTATGCACTGTGCAGTAAGAGGCATGCATGTGTGGGACTAGAGCTCTCCCCTTGCTGGTCCAGAGCACGAAGTGTGCATATCCATCTAGACCTGGGAGAATGGGATCATGGCCTGTGAGGAGCTCTGGTTCCTCACTTTGCGAGAATGGGCCAAAGTGTATGGAGAAGTGGTGAGGCCTGGGATAATGGGATTGTATGAGGGGCTGAGAAACTGAGGCTCTCCCAGGTCTCGACTTGTTTACCTGGTGGATGAGCACAGCTAGGCCTAACCTAAGAACATGGGTCAATGAGGGAGGATAAAGATCCAGAACACTCAAAAGCTGAGCTGGTCTGCAGTCTGCATGACCCAAGATTCTCTGGGAGTCCAAATAGAGTAGGGTGACTCTGGCATGTTGGGCCTGCCCTGCATGGGCTGTTGCACAGGCATTGGACGCCACATACACTCAAAGTATGTATGGGCACACTTACAGAAGGCAAGAGACCTGGGCAGAACACACGAAGAGCTGGCATGCAGACTATGAGATTCCAGCAAGGCCTAGGAGTGTCATGAAATGGGTGGGTCCTGTGGTTATTGGCCCCTGTCAGGACTGTATTGGGGTGCAGACTACATCAACCAGGGTTCTGTGTCAAAGAGGACGAGAAATCACGGGATCTGGGACTCTCACCTCACTGGATGCTGTGAAACCAACAGAGACCTTGTCTTATCACACTGGTTCTCATCCTATGGATAGAGACCCACCAGGAACCCTCTGAATCACAGATCTTTCCCTGGCGATTCAGAAGAGTAGCAAAATTACAATTACGAGGTCCCAAAAACAATAATTTTATGCTTGTTGGTCACGACGACAGGACCACCTGTCTTAAAGGGTCACAGCATCAGGAAGGTTGATACCCAGTGACTTATGGTTTCAAAGAAGGTGGCATAGAGTCTGGTCACTCTCCATGACTGGAAACTGTAAGGGACTATGCCCACAGCAGGGCTCTCTGTCCTGGGAGAGTGGGGACAAGGGTGGCGGTTGATATTCTTGTCACTCAGGAGGCTTTGGTGTTGCACAGGCTAGTGGACCCTCTACGGGGTTCCGAAGTGACATGGATGTCATGGGAGAATGGAAGGCTACAGGTCGGCCATCTCCCAGGATGGTCTGACTGTGAGCAATAGGATCCCAGCTGATTCTGAATGATGAAATGTTGGGGGAAATTGGGGACTAAGAGCCCCAGCTAAATGGGCAGGATCACAAATCTGTGCAACACCAGCTGGGACAGTGAGTGGTGGACAGGGAAAGGAGGGAGGATCTGGTTCTCACTCTATTCTGGATTGGGGAAATAGTTGTGGGGCCCAGCAGAGCCTGGGATGGGGAACTCTAGGAGCATGACAAGACCCAGGCCTCAAAACTGACTGGCCCGATGAACATGGTGTGGTAGCCCTGCAAGGCCCTGCCTTGTGGTGGTGGCCTGCAAATGTGTGTCTTGGTCTCACCTGATTGGACTGGCACATGGAACCTGTGTCCTCAGCTAGGCTGAGCACTGTGTAGTTAGGCAAAGTCCTGTGTAGGACTAGAGCCCAAACCTTGCTGGTCTAGTACAGCACGTGTGCATACCCATCTAGACTTGAAGAATGAGAACATGGCCTGTGAAGGCAGGTCTGGGCTCCTCACTTTGCTGGAATGAATCACAGGCTATGGCAGATCAGTGAGGCCTGGGACTATGGGATTGCATGAGATCAAAGGAGCTTAGGCACTCACATGTCTCTGCTTGGCTACCTGGGAGGATGGCCCCAGCTTGGCCTTTGAGCGTGCACCAGTGTGAGGGGACAATGGTTGTGGGTGATTATCTGGGTCACTCAGGAGGCTTTGGTGTTGCACAGGCTGGTGGACCCTACACAGGTATCCATAGAGGATGTGCATGACATGGGTGAGTGGAAAGCTGCAGACCACCTCCCAGGATGGTCTCACTGTGAGCATTTGGATGCCAGCTGTTTCTGAATGATCAAACTGGGGGAAATTGAGGACAAAGAGACCCAACTAACTGATCAGGTCCCCAAAACAATGCAACACCAGCTGGGCCTCAGAGTGACAGACAGGGCCACGGAGAATGTATCTGGGTCCCCCTCTCTTCTGGGCTGGGGATATATATATTTGAGGGTCCCAGCTAGGCCTGGGAAGGAGGGATCACATGAGCATGACGGGACCTGGGCCTCAAAGTTTGGTGGCCTGATGCACAAGTTCTGATAGCCAAGCAAGGCCCCGCACTTTGGTGGTGGTGGCCTGCAGATGTGTGTCTTGCTCTCACCTGGATGGACTAGCACACAGAACCTGTGTCCCCAACTCTTCTATGCACTGTGCAGTAAGAGGCATGCATGTGTGGGACTAGAGCTCTCCCCTTGCTGGTCCAGAGCACGAGGTGTGCATATGCATCTAGACCTGGGAGAATGGGATCATGGCCTGTGAGGGAGCTCTGGTTATTCACTTTGCAAGAATGGGCCACAGTGTGTGAAGAACCGGTGAGACCTGGGATAATGGGATTGTATGAGGAGCTGAGGAGTTCACATGTCTCAGATTGTTTACCTGGTAGATGACCCCAGCTAGGCCTAACCTAAGACCATAGGTCAATGAGGGAGGATAAAGGTCCAGAACACTCAAAAGCTGAGCTGGTGTGCAGTCTGCATGACCCAAGACTCTCTGGGAGTCCCAATACAGTAGGGTGACTGTGGCATGTTGGGTTTGCCCTGCATGGGCTGTTGCACAGGCATTGGACGCCACATAGACACAAAGTATGTATGGGCACACTTGCAGAAGGCAAGAGACCTGGGCAGAACTCACAAAGAACTGGCATGCAGGGTACAAGACTCCAGCAAGGCCTAGGAGTGTCATGAAATGGGTGGGTCCTGTGGTTATTGGCCCCTGTCAGGACTGTATTGGGGTGCAGACTACATCAACCAGGGTCCTGTGTCAAAGAGCACGAGAAATCACGGGATCTGGGACTCTCGCCTTACTGGATGCTGTGAAACCAACAGAGACCTTGTCTTATCACACTGGTTCTCATCCTGTGGATAGAGACCAACCAAGGACCCTCTGAATCACAGATCTTTCCCTGGCGATTCAGAAGAGTAGCAAAATTACAGTTACGAGGTCCAAACAACAATCATTTTATGCTTGTTGGTCACCATGACATGACCACCTGTCTTAAAGGGTCAGAGCATCAGGAAGGTTGGATACCCAGTGACTTGTGGTTTCAAAGAAGGTGGAATAGAGTCTGGTCACTCTCAATGATTGGATGGTGTAAGGGACTATGCCCACAGCAGGGGGCTCTGTACTGGTAGAATTGGGACAAGTGTGGCAGTTGATATTCTTGTCACTCATGAGGCTTTGGTGTTGCACAGGCTAGTGGACCCTCTACGGGGTTCCGTAGTGACATGGATGTCATGGGTGAGGGGAAGGCTATAGGTAAGCCATCTCCCAGGATGGTCTGACTGTGAGCAATAGGATCCCAGCTGAATCTGAATGATGAAATGTTGGGGGAAATTGGGGACTAAGAGCCCCAGCTAAATGGTCAGGATCACAAAACTGTGCAACACCAGCTGGGGCAGTGAGTGGTGGACAGGGCCAAGGAGGGAGGATCTGGGTCTCACTCTATTCTGGATTGGGGAAATAGTTGTGGGGCCCAGCAGAGCCTGGGATGGGGAACTCTAGGAGCATGACAGGACCCAGGCCTCAAAGCTGACTGGCCCGATGAACACGGTGTAATGGCCAGCAAGGCGCTGCCTTGTGGTGGTGGCCTGCAAATGTGTGTCTTGGTCTCACCTGATTAGACTGGCACACAGAACCTGTGTCCTCAGCTAGGCTGAGCACTGTGTAGTTAGGCAAAGTCCTGTGTAGGACTAGAGCCCAAACCTTGCTGGTCTAGTACACCACGTGTGCATACCCATCTAGACTTGAAGAATGAGAACATGGCCTGTGAAGGCAGGTCTGGGCTCCTCACTTTGCTGGAATGGATCACAGGCTATGGCAGATCAGTGAGGCCTGGGACTATGGGATTGCATGAGATCAAAGGACCTGAGGCACTCACATGTCTCTGCTTGGCTACCTGGGGGGATGGCCCAGCTTGGCCTATGAGCATGCAGCAGTGTGAGAGGATAAAGTTCTAGAACACTCCATGGTTGGGCTGGTGAGCAGTCTGGATGAACCCAGCACTTTCTGAGGATCTGGATAGAGTAGTATGACTGCTTCATGTTAGCCAGTCACCAGGACAGGTTTTTTTTTTTTTACACGGGCATTTTGATGCCACATATGAAGTATGAGCAGAGTGTAAGTAGGGAAGGGACCGGACCAGAATCCATGAGGTTCTGGCATGCAGACCACAAGATGCCATTAGGCCTAGGAGTGTAGCAAAATTGGGGAATGGTGGAGTCACTGGTCCCTCTCTGGACTGTTCGGGAGTGTAGCCTACCTCAAGTAGGCCTCTGTTTCAAAGAGGCCAAGGACTGGGGGGATGGGGGACACTCACCAGGCTCAGTGCTGTGAAGTCCAACAGAGACCTTGTCTTATGGCAGCGGTCCTCAACCTGTGGGTAGCGACCCTAACAGAGACCATCTGAAACAAAGTTATTCGGGTGACGATTCATAACTGTAGCAAAATTACAGTTAGGACATCCCAAGCAAGTTTATTTATGGTTGGTGGTCAGCACAACCTGAGGAGCTGTATTAAAAGGTGGCAGCAAGAAGAGTGTGGAAACCCACTGCCTTATGGTATTAAGGAAGGTGGGTTAGAGTCTGGCCGGTCTCTGGGATTGAAAGGTGTAAGGCCATAAGCCCACAGCAAGGTCTCTGTCCTGGGTGAGTGGGGACAATGGTGGTGGGTGATTATCTGGGTCACTCAGTAGGCTTTGGTGTTGCACAGGCTGGTGGACCCTACAGAGCCATCAATAGAAGATGTGCATGACATGGGTGAGTGGAAAACTGCAGACCACCTCCCAGGATGGTCTGACTGTGAGCACTAGGATGCCAGCTGATTCTGAATGATCAAATTGGGGGAAATTGGGGACAGAGAGACCCAACTAACTAGTAGGTCCCCAAATCAGTGCAACACCAGCTGGGCCACGGAGTGACAGACAAGGCCACAGAAGGTGTATCTGGGTCCCCCTCTGTACTGAGCTGGGGAAATATATAATTGAGGGACCCAGCTAGGCCTGGGAAGGAGGGATTGCATGAACATGACGGGACCCGGGCCTCAAAGCTTGGTGGCCTGATGCACAAGTTGTGATAGCTAAGCAAGGCCCCGCAGGTTGGTGGTGGTGGCCTGCAGATGTGTGTCTTGCTCTCACCTGGATGGACTGGCACACAGAGCCTGTGTCCCCAACTCTTCTATGCACTGTGCAGTAAGAGGCATGCATGTGTGGGACTAGAGCTCTCCCCTTGCTGGTCCAGAGCACAAGGTGTGCATATCCATCTAGACCTAGGAGAATGGGATCATGGCCTGTGAGGAGCTCTGGTTCCTCACTTTGCGAGAATGTGCCAAAGTGTGTGGAGAACCGGTGAGGCCTGGGATAATGGGATTGTATGAGGGGCTGAGAAACTGAGGCTCTCACAGGTCTTGTCTTGTGGATGAGCACAGCTAGGCCTAACCTAAGAACATGGGTCAATGAGGGAGGATAAAGATCCAGAACACTCAAAAGCTGAGCTGGTGTGTAGTCTGCATGACCCGAGACTCTCTGGGAGTCTTTCTGCCCTGCATGGGCTGTTGCACAGTCATTGGACGCCACATACACTCAAAGTATGTATGGGCACACTTGCAGAAGGCAAGAGACCTGGGCAGAACCCACGAAGAGCTGGCATGCAGACTATGGGATTCCAGCAAGGCCTAGGAGTGTCATGAACTATGTGGGTCCTGTGGTTATTGGCCCCTGTCTGGACTGTATTGGGGTGCAGACTACATCAACCAGGGTTCTGTGTCAAAGACCACGAGAAATCACGGGAACTGGGACTCTCACCTCACTGGGTGCTGTGAAACCAACAGAGACCTTGTCTTATCACACTGGTTCTCATCCTGTGGATAGAGACCCACCAGGGACCCTCTGAATCACAGATCTTTCCCTGGCGATTCAGAAGAGTAGCAAAATTACAATTACAAGATCCCCAAAACAATAATTTTATGCTTGTTGGTCACCATGACAGGACCACCTGTCTTAAAGGGTCACAGCATCAGGAAGGTTGATACCCAGTGACCTATGGTTTCAAAGAAGGTGGCATAGAGTCTGGTCACTCTCCATGATTGGAATGGGTAAGGCGCTATGATCACAGCAGAGCTCTCTGTCCCGGGAGAATGGGGACAAGGGTGGCGGTTGATATTCTGGTCACTCATGAGGCTTTGGTGTTGCACACGCTACCGGACCCTCTACGGGGTTCCGTAGTGGACATGGATGTCATGGGTGAGTGGAAGGCTACAGGTCGGCCATCTCCCAGGATGGTCTGACTGTGAGCCATAGGATCCCAGCTGATTCTGAATGATGAAATGTTGGGGGAAATTGGAGACTAAGAGCCCCAGCTAATTGGTGAGGTTCACAAAACTGTGCACCAGCTGGGACAGTGAGTGGTGGACAGGGCCAAGGAGGGAGGATCTGGGTCTCACTCTATTCTGGATTGGGGAAATAGTTGTGGGGCCCAGCAGAGACTGGGATGGGGAACTCTAGGAGCATGACAGGACCCAGGCCTCAAAGCTGACTGGCTCAATGATCATGGTGTGGTGGCCCAGCAAGGCCCTGCCTTGTGATGGTGGCCTGCAAATGTGTGTCTTGGTCTCACCTGATTGGACTGGCACACAGAACCTGTGTCCTCAGCTAGGCTGAGCACTGTGTAGTTAGGCAAAGTCCTGTGTAGGACTAAAGCCCAAACCTTGCTGTGTGCATACCCATCTAGACTTGAAGAATGGGAACATGGCCTGTGAAGGCAGGTCTGGGCTCCTCACTTTGCTGGAATGGATCACAGGCTATGGAAGATCAGCGAGGCCTGGGACTATGGAATTGTATGGGAGCGGACGAGCTGAGGCACTCACATGTCTCTTCTTGGCTACCTGGGAGGATGGCCCCAGCTTGGCCTATGAGCGTGCACCAGTGTGAGGGGACAATGGTTGTGGGTGATTATCTGGGTCACTCAGGAGGCTTTGGTGTTGCACAGGCTGGTGGACCCTACACAGGTATCCATAGAGGATGTGAATGACATGGGTGAGTGGAAAGCTGCAGACCACCTCCCAGGATGGTCTGACTGTGAGCACTTGGATGCCATCTGATTCTGAATGATCAATTTGGGGGAAATTGGGAACAAAGAGACCCAAGTAACTGGTCAGGTCCCCAAAACAATGCAACACCAGCTGGGCCACAGAGTGACGGACAGGGCCACGGAGAGTGTATCTGGGTCCCCCTCTGTTCTGGGCTGGGGATATATATACTTGAGGGTCCCAGCTAGGCCTGGGAAGGAGGGATCACATGAGCATGATGTGACCCAGGCCTCAAAGTTTGGTGGCCTGATGCACAAGTTGTGATAGCCAAGCAAGACCCCGCACGTTGGTGGTGGTGGCCTGCAGATGTGTGTCTTGCTCTCACCTGGATGGACTGGCACACAGAACCTGTGTCTTCAACTCTTCTATGCACTGTGCAGTAAGAGGCATTCATGTGTGGCACTAGAGCTCCCCGCTTGCTGGTCCAGAGCACAAGGTGTGCATATCCTTCTAGACCTGGGAGAATGGGATCATGGCCTATGAGGGAGCTTTGGTTCCTCACTTTGCGAAAATGGGCCACAGTCTTTCAAAATCCACTGAGGCCTGGCAATGTGTAATTGTAGTAGGAGCTGAGGAATGAGGCACTCACAGGTCTCTGCTTGTAAACCTGGAGAATGGCTCCTACTATGCGCTTTGAGCATGTGTTATTTTGTGAATATATGTTTCTAGAACACTCCATGTCTACCTGGTGTACAGTCTGGATGACTTCAGAAGTTTAGTATTATTCAGGCATTTATAGATGACCTGGTCTGATTGTGAGCTCTGGTGTTTCTAGCTGATTCTGACAGATCAAATATGGGGATTCATGAGACATAAGATCACCAACTCTCTGGCCAGGTCTGAAATCTCTGCAAGTCCAGCTCATCCAGTTAGTGATGGGCAAGTCCAAAGATGTTGTCACTCTCTCTTCTTGTTTGGGGAATTTTTGTGGATCCTATCATAGCCTATGTAGGGGTGACTTCATGAGTATGAAGGGAACTCATGCTCATGAAGGGAACCAAGCTTCTATGTTGGTTTGTTTGATGCCCATTTTGTGGCACCTCTCAATTCCTGAACTGTAGTAATTGCCTCCATATATCTTTCTTGTTCTCCATGTTTGACTGGCACACATGTATGTCCTCTGTAAGGTGCTCCCTTTTGAAGTTAGGCAGACATCTGTGGGACTAGAGATCTCCCCTTGTTGGTCTAGTTCACAAGGTGTGCATATCCATAGACCTGGGAGAATGGGAACTTGGCCTATGATGACAGCTCCAGATTCTTCCCTTTGCTGGAATGGAGCACAGGATGTAGGTACCCAAGTAGGCTGTGAGTGTGGGTTTGCATGAGGAGTTGAGTATCTGTTCCACTGACCTCTCTGGGCTGGTATACCTCAAGCATGACCTGAGCTAGTCCTCATAATATGAGAAAATGCCCTCTGAGGTTATGTCTTCATTACTCTGTGCTGTGTTGATCTGAATCTGTGGGACCTCAGCTAGTGTTGTGATTGTAGGATTTCATGAGAATTTGGTATCTGGGGAACTCAGCATGTTGGGCTGTTGCATATGCATCATGTTGTTAGCTGTGCCTAAGAATGTGGAGATACTTAGTTTTGATGCAGTCATGAGACACTCAATAAAGGTGGGCTGGTTTGTGGCTGCATGATCCCAACCTTTTCTGCAAACTTGTAGAAAGCCAAGTTGTGGTGGTTTTTAGTTAGTTACCAGGATGTGATGTTGCACAGGTGTGGAGACCCAGACAAGGAGTATGACCATCTTGTTGGAAAGCATGATACTAGATCAGTCTCATTGATTTGTCTAGTGTGCAGAGTGCAAGATACCAGTTAATAATAGGTGTGTAAGGACTGGGAAGTTTTGCACAAGTCTGTTTCTCAGTCTGCTGTGGTAGCATGCTGATTGCTACGTTATCTTTTCCTGGGAATATGAAGTGCAGTGGGCATACTGGCTTCAGGAGTACTTACCTGGCTCATCTGGTTGGCAGGCTGTGAGAACCAGAGTAGGCCTGGGATTTTTAGGCCAAACAGGTAGGTGAACGTCTGGGTCACTCTTCAGGCTAGGCAGGTGTTAGGTAGTGTGTGGCCCATACTGAGACTTGGTATATGTGGCCAGTTGTGGTAGCTGGTTATTTGGGGTCCATCACTAGGTCTTTTTTGTTGGTTAGCATTTGCTTGGTTTCTATGAAGTTATTTTTCAAGTATCTGCCAGGTAGTTTCTAGGCTTTTCCCCGTGATATTCCTGTGTAGGAGTAGAATTTTTCTAGTTGTTCCAGCTTTGTGTTTTTTCAACTATAAATTCTTGACCAATGGATATCTTTAATGTCCATGTTCTTCCCTGCATTGTCTGGTCTAACAATGAAAGACATATTTCAGCTGTGTGTCTTTGCTATCACAAAGTTTCCTTAGACACAATGATTACCTGTTTGGTGTTTAATGGTTCCTATGCCATTTCTTTCATAGACATTGATGTTCTGATCTCCATGACCTTTTCATCACTTTTTTACTCTATTTTTGAAGAAAGAGCTTTCCATGTAATGTTTTCCACATTAGGAGCTGTATTAATCTGCATTTTACTATTCCAGCTCTTTCTGCTTTGACCATTAAAAAGTGTTCCATATCCAGTTTCTATCTAGTTGCCTATGTTCTGGCCAGGAAGTAAATCTTTAAACTCAACTACTTCCAAAGAGGTCACATCATGTAGGTTTCAAAGGAAGTTTATCATTTCTGTAACTTCACCATTATTATTTATTCTAATCTGGAAGGAATGTTGTATTTATATGTCTTTCATAGCTGGATTTGTTTTAGCCATGCAGCGGTCTTCAATATCTATGTCTTCTCAAGTTATAGCTGCCTTCAAGTCATAATATCTACTCTATATTCTTGTCTTTCCCAGATATACTTCTTTGATAGCTACCGAAATCCTCAATTTCCACATCTTTCAAAGCCATAATTTTTTACTGTTTGGTGATGAAAAATGGCTAGCATTTTCCTATCTGTGTCATGAAATATATTCTGCATGTTACATTTTCTACCATAGACAATATTATTAGGAAATAAGCCTTCTATCACATGTCTTTACTAACCACAGATACTTGGTGCATTGAAGAAGTTTTTCATATCAGTTACTCAAAATGAGTACCCATAAAGAGATAGAATTCAGTTCTCAGTCTTGCATAATCATTAAAGCTTTTGGTTGCAAAGAGAACATCTAGTATGACTTATTTTCTCATAAGCGTTTTTAAAATCATGTTATAATTTCCCATGCCTATATGTTTCTAGCTCACAAATACTCTGGCAATAGAGTTCTCTGCAGTCACATCCTCCCCGTTGCTGCTTTAGTACTGGAACAAGTCATCTATCACTATGTCTTTCCCTAGATATAGATGCTGTTGACAAAAAAGTGATGCTCAACTTCTATGTCATCTCATTCAGTGCAGGGTTGTAGCTGTGAAATGCCTTCCAAATCCACTTCATCATGAGCTAAAGTTGCCCAGTAATGCAAGAAGTTTTCTATTACCATATCTTCCCAATCCACATCTACCCTGCTTAAAGAAATTTTCCTGCTTCTCCTCTTCCATAGACTCAACAAAGTTGGTCAGAAAAAAAAGTTTCATCTCTGGCCAAGAAATAAGTCCTTCACCTTCATGCTTTTCCCAGGTGCATCTACTTTGATCATGGAAGAAGCCATTCCTTGCTCATGCCTTTCAAAGTCTCTCTGCTCTGGTTATGAGCTTGACCTTTAAATGATATATGTCAGAGCTTCTTCCATAAAAAAAAAAATACCTTCTTGTTTCCCCCAAACTATAGTTGTCTTTGTTACAGAATTATTTTTTCTGCTATCATGGCTTCTCAAGTCATGGCAGCTTTGATCATGAAAGCAGACTTTCCACAGAACATTCCTTGCTAACCCCATTCCTGTCAAGATATATCTGTTTTTGTCACATTCTAGTTTGGGTTTCCTCAATTTCTGCATCCATAACTACTTTGTCAAGTAAACAATGTGGCTAAAGCTAGGATTTCTCCTTCTACATTTGCTGTTAATGTGAATGAAATCTGTCTTGGTGACCACAGGAAGTTTCCTCTGTGTCCATTTCTGCTCTGACCACTGAAGTCTTTCTGCTTGTGTATGGCCATAGCAACTCTTGTGTGTTTGTACTGAGATATTATCTCATCAGTCAGGATGATCTTGAACTCACTATTTTCCTACAGTGCTAGCTATCAACTCTTTGATATGTGTATCTGAGCTTTACAACATCCACATAGTAAACACATCTCTACAGCAAGATGAATTAATAGGTGTATTATCTTATATACCTGCTTTTTCTGACAAAAGCAGCTAAAATCCACTTATTTAATAAAAACCCCAAATACAATATGGTCTTATTAACTATAGTACTCATGCTGCCATACATTAAGTCTTTATATTTGCTTCTCCTACACATCTGCTACTTCAGGATTCCTTTAGAACAGTTGTCTCCACTTCAGCACAGTGAAGGTTCCCTTGCAGAGCAAGTGCAAGTCCATCCTGCTACCTCCTACATTACTAGTTTCACTCAAGTCTTGACAGTATATAGAGAAACATATAAAGAATATGCTAATTGGTACAAAGTTCCAGGCAAGGACAGCCAAGTAGATGAGCCCAGTTTGTTCTCTTCTGTACAGTTTTGCATTCCTATCTATGCCTATTTCTATGGATGTATTCCATTTTCATGCTGTATGTTTGAGGTTTTTACTCTGTATCCTGTATCTGTATCCAACTTGAGAAAGAGACTGCAAGTGTAGCATGGAGAACACACTGTACTTATGGTAAGACAATGGACAATTCAGGAACTATTCTCTCAAAGGTGAAGAGATCTCAGAAGCAATCATCTAAACCATCAGGAATTCATTAGAGTACAGTGAGGCTTTCTATGGGCAAATCCAATGCCTACCTAGGAGAGAGGATCTGGGGATGTCTGACTGTCTCAACTCGGCCCTTTCATCAGACCAAACATACCAAGAAAACTTAGCTTTGTAACTTGTAAAAAGTCACCTATGGGTGAAATACTCTTTTCATATGAATACTCTGAGTACTGGGCTTGGTAGTATACTCATGTAATCCTAGCATTAAAAAGACCAAAGCAATAGGATTACAGCTCAGTCTGGGTTGTATAAGAACCTGTCTAAAAATGGCTAATGCATATTACTTTTACTCATACTCGCTCTTCTTTCTTTGGAATATCCCTGGGTCTCTGAACTCCATTTGGCTCAACATCCTGTCTTCTTATACTCAACTGAGGAACACCTTTGGACATTTGTATCTGGATTTCCTTCAGGCTTGGTGTTTGGTATTTCTTATGTAGACCTCCACACCATAATTACAGGTAAGTAGCTTTTATGACTTCTACCAAACTGTCTGTCCTGTCTATTTGCCTAAAATCCCTACCATAAAAGCTTGGATATACTTCACAAAGCAGGGATAACACTAACCTAAACGTGGAAGTACACGCTTACTGCTAGGTCAAAGAGAGCTAGAACCAATCCACCTGCTCAATTAGCTTCTTCTCATAGACCCACTGCATCACTTTCAATGCCGAGCTCTAGCTCTCAGAAAATTGGGGTATTCTATGGACGGGCATCTTTGTAAGTACTACAAATACTATGCAGTCCAAAACATGTGGGTATTTATCACCATCACTTGGAGCTATTGGCAATTGTTAGCTGCTGGGCGAGGGAGGGATAGTTTTCTTTTAGGACTGGAGCCCCTGGCAAGTTGACCATGATCCAGTGGAAGACCTCACATCCAAAACTGTTTGAGCAGCACAAATTGGTCTTAAGGGGCTTTTTGAAAGACCGAAATGTTAGGGGGATAGAAAAGGGGTGGGTAGGTGTGGGAATAGTTATGGGGAGGAGGGATAAATATGATTTTAAAAAAAAGTCTCAAAGAGCTAGTAAAAAAACCCAAATATGCAAAGTAAGCCTCTGAAAAGCTGGTACTTCTAGGAACTTAACTACTGAAGGAGGTGTTTGTTTAGAGAAATGGTCATGCTTATTCTACAGTATGCGGGAGGGTATTTCCTTAATTGGAGTGCAATAATTATTCATGGCTTATGATTACCATCTCATAACACTTGTTTGTTTCTGTCAGGTGTTTTTAACCAGAAATGCGACCCATTAGCTCTGTCAAGAGGAACAGCTAGTCAACATGCCACCACATTCCAAAAACTTGCCTAGGAACTGGCCACAAGCTGAAGTCCCAAGATCATCTGGACATGAAGAATCACTTCTTCATATTTCCATAAATGCTAGTTTGGCTGTGCTTGTAATCCATGGTACTTGGGAGACTAAGGTGGGAGAATTACTTGAGTCAAAGAACTGAGTTGACCATCCTGAACAACATAGTATGACCCCATCTCAAATCAAAACCAACCAAACACCAGAAAAGAAATTCATAGACTTTTTAGTGAACTTGCTGAGGAAAAGGATTGTATTGCTAAATGTTAAGGGATAATGTTATTAATATTTTATATTGATGGTATTTTATTATTTAAGCCACAAAAATACTCATTCTGAATAATACACATTCTTGAGTGAACTTTTGGAGTGGGTGAGATACTTATATGTACACATGTGATGAGACAGTATTTGTGGCGTTTTAGGCTGATCTTGTTCATAGTATACTGACGGTGCATTGTATATCTTTTTCATTAAGTTGTATAAGATTGGTGGATTGGAATTTACAAGTAAGATGGTGGATTAAAAGCTCCATCTGAGTCAGTGGATAAAAATGTTATGATAAAAACATAATAGATCCAATTTATATACAAGAAAGACTAAAAAAATAAAAAGCCAAAGTCTGAATTTCTCTACAATGAAGGAGCCAGGTCCACCAGAAATCAGTTGTGGTACCTACTCCCACTGACTGACATAAGCTGCCAGCCATGTGTTCTCCTAGGTGACACCATGAAAGCCCAGGAGAAAAGGCCTGCGCTGTGTAAACACAACTGGATGGATAAAAATTCCATATATAGAACAAGTTGTGAGTAGTAGAAATGTGGTTTGAAAACCTCAAGATCACTACACATTAATAAAGGGATAATTCATCAAGAAGATTAGAATATTATTAACATTTATACACCAAATATCAGGTACAATCAGCAGGAAATTTCAAAACTCTCATCTTTAGACACATATTTCAAACTAAAAATCAACAAAGAAACAGTTTAAGTAAATAACACCATAGAGCAATTGCATTTAACAGATACTTACAAAGTATTCTATCCAACTAATAGGGAATGCACATTATTCTCAGCAGCACATAGGGCTCACTTTAAAACTATACACATTATAGGATACAAAGCAAAAATCGAATTACTTATATTTTATCAGACAATAGCAGAATAAAAGCAGCTACACAAGTACTTAGTACTGAGCAATACATTTTTGAATGAACAATGGATCACTGAGGAAATCGAGGAAAGTTTTTGAAATCCTAAAAACAAAGGAAAATTATGATATAACCTACTAAAACTTATGGGATTTAAAAAGACATTCATAAGAGGAAGGATTATAGCTCTAAGTGCTTACATTTGAAAAAAATCAATGAGATCACAAATAAATAACCTAATTATATACCTCAAGGTTCTAGAAAAACAAGAAGTCAAACTCAGATGATATGAATGTCAAGAAGTAGACACTAGGAATATACAGAGTCAATCAAACAGAAAGTTATTTGAAAAGCCAAAGATCAAAGATCTAAAGAAAAATAGATAATATCTAAATAAGAAAAATTAGAGGTGAAAAATAAGCTCTTACTGCAGACTCTAATAAAATCCAGAGGGATATTAGGGAATACTTTGAAACCTCATCCTAAAAAGCTAGAAAACTGGGGCTGGATATGTAGCTCAATGGAAAAGTGCTTGTCTGGCATGTTCAAAGTCCTAGATTTGATTCCTAGCACTGTCAAAACCAAAATGTTAGAAAACTTAAAAGAAATGGATATATTCTTTTTTTAAAAATTCTACAGAGATTTATTTTAAAACAATTTTTCAGTATGCATGCAACTTTACCATTTACTAAAGATGAAAGGAAATCTGCAAACTAATGAGATAGACATGCTTGTTTATTTTTATATAAGGAATTAAATCTTGAGGCAGGTGTGGCACACCCAGTACTTGGGAGGTAGAGGCAAGAGGATCAAGAGTTCAAGGCCAGCCTCAACTACAGAGCAAGTGTGAAGCTGGCCTGGGCTACAGGAGACATTGTCTCAACTTCTCCCACATGCCCCTAAAGGGTACTAAATCTGAGCTGACTGTTTGGTATCACACAATGTCCAATGTTTTTCAGAGTTGATCGATGTTTAAAATGCCTATCTGTCAATGCTAAGAATGCTGTTTTACAGATAGTACAAAATGGCAGAAACATGTTTATGGCCATTTCAGACACTGTTGGAAATTCTATCTTAACCTCAAGCCAAAAAATTCATTTAATGGTTTCTTTTTAAAATGAAACTCAAGCTACCAACTCAAACAGCAATTTTCAAAAGAAATGGACATATTCTTAACCCATGTGAGCTGCCAACATGAATTCAAGGAGATACAAATAACTATAAGAGATGCAAAATAAGCAATGATATTGAAGTTTTCCTACATAGAAAAGTCAAGGGCTGGATGGATTCACTATTGAATCCTAACAAATATTTAAGGAAGTCTAGCATCAGCACTTCTTAAATATTTTCATAAAAAAGAAATGGAGAGGACACCATTAAACTTATTCCGTGAAGCTGTTACTATCGTGATACCACATTTCCCTGGTGAACAGATATACAAATTCTCAAAATACTTATTTTGGTAATTACCAGGGTCATTGTCTTAGTCAGTGTTCTTTGGCTGTGAAGAGACACCATGACCGTAGCAACTCTTCTAAATGCAAGCACTTAACTGGGGCTTCCTTACAGTTTCAGAAGTTTAGTCCAGAATCATCATGGCAAGAAGCATGTGGCATGGCAGCATGCAGGCAGACATGGTGCTGAAGAGGAGCTGAGAGTTCTACATCTAGATCTGAAAGCAGCAGGAAGAGAGAGAGAGCCACTGAAAACCCAAAGCCCACCCCCCAGTGACAGGCTTCTTCCAACAAGGCCACACCTACTCCAACAAAGCCATATGTCCTAGTCTCCCTCAAGTAGTACCACTCCCTAATGACCAAGCATTCAAATGTATGAATGAGCCTGTGGGGGCCATTCTTATTCAAACCACTGCAGTCAAGGTGATGGAGAAAAGGACTTTTGTTGTTTTTGTCATTCTCTTCCTCCTCATTCTTCTCATTATTTTTACTTGGTTTTTATAATATAGAATAGAGGTCTACTTTTGCAACATGAAATTCTATAGACCCATTTTCCTGTAATGTGAATATAGTTAACATTGCTGTTATGCATTTTAAAGTGTTAAATATGATTTATACACATGTTAAATTTGTTACTGACCCTAAAATTGAAGTGATTGGAAAAAATGGATTAAAAATCAAACTCCATTGTTGTTTGTTGTATGACTTTTCCTGGAGGGGAGGTATAAGGACATGACTATTCATCCCACACAGGGCATCACTTACAAACTAAAAAACTGACTCCACCTAAGTTCAGCTTGGTGCACCAATGGATTTATTGGCGTTACTTATAGGAACATGGGTGATTGAGCAGCTGCATCATCAACAAAGTCCAATCCCAACATGAGTGACCACTGCATGGGTGATTTGGGCAGCTGATTCACTGAACAATCCACTCCAGCACGTATGACCACTCATAGATGCTGCATAACTGGAGCTTTGCCTTTAGTCATCCTTCCCCTTCCTATATTCTCTAGAACTTCCCAAGACCACATACAGGTGAGAGGTATGGAATAGTGGTTTAAAGTATGGTGACCTTCCTTTTAAGAGTTAATGTTAACAATTCAATTATGACTGTGATTAACATAGCTATTAACATGTTCTTTTGCTTATTTAATTACTATGACTGTGGAGTTGAGGTATTCTATAGGTCATCACAACAATCTGGGCTTCATGAATGTGATGGTCATGTTGCACTTGTAGAAAACAGCTATACCATAACACATGTATTATATGGAGAGATAATTGACAAACATTGTATATATTTAGTGTAGTGTTCAATTCTTTTCATACTACTAGGGATGGAACTCAGGGCCTTACCAATGCTAAGCAATTTGTCTGCCCTTGAACCACAGTCAGACCTTAATGCAATGTTTTGATACACATATACATTATAAAATAATGTAACCAAGTTATTTATCATCTGTATCACTTCACATAGTTTCCATTTTGGTGGGGAAAAAATAAGAAACTCACTTTAGATACAAAGGTGAAATAGATCAAAAGTGAACAAATGGAAAAATATATGCCATGTAAATAGTAGCTAAGTTGAAGTTTAAGAAAAGATATACTTGGGTCAAAATGCTTAAAAGTGATAAAGAATGATATTATAGATTGATAAAAGTACAGTCCATCAAAAATATATAGTAACTATAAACACCAAAAAGCAGAGCAATAAATACATGAAGTAAACAAAACTGAAGGGACCAAAAAATAGGTCTACAATAATCATTAGAGACTTCGATATATTTTTAATTCACAGAACTAGAAAGAAGATAAATAAGGAAATTGATGATGTGAGCAACTTCATACATCAAGGAGGCATGTAGCGCACATACCACACAACACCACCAGAGTATACATTTTCCTCAACTGCACATAGAACATTATTCAGAAGAGATTATAGGCTAGAACACAAAAGAAAGAATAAGTTAAAAAAATCAAAATCCTATCAATTATGTTCACTCAAACTACAAAACTAGATCTCAACAATGTTACCAGTATCTCTCTCTGGATGCCCCTTAGCTCCTTGGTCCTTGTGATCTCTGTTGAAAGCATTCAGATGAGATTCACAGAGCATAATGTAGAAGGTGGTCAGTTTATTATACTGTAGAAATATATATATATATATATATATATATATATGTCAAAGGATGAGAGTAGGTGGCTAAAGAGATCATTGCAGAGCAGAGGACATTCTCAAGAGGGTGAAAGTAGACAGTTGCCAAAGGGGCCACTGCAGAGCAGAGTCCAGTAGCAAGAAGTGAGGGTGTCCCTTCCCTCACATCTAGTATCCATTTACGAGTGAGTACATACCATGTTTGTCCTTCTGAGTCTGGGTTACCTCACTCAGGATAACCAGACTACAACCCACAGCTCCAGAGAAGCTAGCTAACAAGGAGGACCCTAAGAGGGACACATAGATGAGATCTACATGAGCAAACTGGGAGTGGGGGGAGGTAATGGAGGGCAAAGAATGGGGGATGACAACATAAGGAAATGGGAGGGTCGAGCTGGAACAGGGACAGAGTGGGAGAGCAGGGAAAGAGATACCATGATAAATGAAGACATCATGGGACTAGGAAGAGGCAGGGTGCCAGGGAAGTTCTCAGGAATCCACCAGGATGACCCCACCTTGGACTACTAGCAGTGGTTAAGAGGGTGCCTGGACTGGTCTACTCTGGTGACTGGACTAGTGAATACCCTAACTGTCATCATAGAGCCTTCATTCAGTGACTGATGGAAGCAGATGCAGAGATTCATGGCCAGGTGCCAGGCTGAGCTCCAGGAGTCCAATTGATGAGAGATAGGAGGGATTCTGTGGGCAGGGGACGTGAGATTGTGACAGGAAAGCATACAGAGATGACCAGCGACACTAGTGGAAACCCATGAACTGTGGACTGGTGGCTGTGGAGCCCCCATAGGACTAGACTAGGCCCTCTGGATATGGGAGACGATTGTTTAGCTTGAACTGTTTGGGGGGGCAGGCAGGGGGGTCGGGATCTGTCCCTGGTGCATGGCCGGGCTTTTTGGAGCCCAGTGCCTAGGGTGTGACACCTTGCACCACAGCCTTGGTGCAGGGGGGAGGGGCTTGGACCTGCCTCAGATGAGTGTGCCAGGCTCTGCTGACTCCCCATGGGAGACCTTGACTTGGAAAATGTGGGGCTGGGGCATGGGTTGGGGGGAAGGCTGGGGGGTGGAAAGAGGGAAGAGGGGGGAATCTCTGGTTGCTATGTAAAGAGAATAGAAAATTTCTTAATAATAAAAAATTAAAAACACACACACATAGAGTAAAGAATTACATTGCAAATATGCAGACCTTTTTTTTTTTCCTGTCACATTGTCAGGATAGATGTTTTGACAAATCTAATAAAAAGATAAGTAGGAAAAAAAGAAGTGAGGGTGCCAGGAGTCCAGTGGAAGAGAGAGAAGAGGGATCTTATGAGCAAGGGGCATCAAGATCATGATGGGGAAACCTACAGAGATAACCGAACCAAGCTAGTGGGAACTCGTAAACTTTAGACCAACAGCTGTGGAGCCTCCATGGGACTGGACTTGGCTCTCTGCATAAGCAAGACAGTTGTGTAGCTTGTTCTGTTTAAGGAGCTTCTGGCAGTAGGATCAAGATCCATCCCTGGTGCATGAGCTGGCTTTCTGGAGCCCACTACCTATGGTGGGACACCTTGTTTGATGCAGTGGAGAGAGGCTTGGACCTGCCTCAACTGAATGTACCAGGCTTTGCTCGCTCTGCATGAGAGGCCTTACATTTTCGGAGGAGGGGATGGGGGGGGTAGCTTGGGGGGAAAGGCTCAGGGGGGAGTGGGAGGAGGGATAAGAGAGGGATCTGTGTTGGTATGTAAAATGAACAAAAAATTTCTTAATAAAGAAAAAAAAAGAGGTGAGGATGGCCAATGACCAAAGGGGACATTGCAGAGGAGAGTGGAATCTCAGCAGGTAAGAGTGGACAATGGCCAAAGATAGTTCCAATATACCTTTTAGGCAGGCTTTATACTATTTTTATAATGTCTAGAACAAACAGCTTTTCCTAAGGACTTTATCTTTTCCAAGTGATTGACAGGCTCATTTGCATTAACTCTTACTGGAGGGATCATTGGTATGTTGTTGTATAACACTGTTCCTGGAGAAATTTGGACAAATACCCACTTAGGCCACATAGGGAACCGACAACAGACTATAGCTAGAGTTTTCCTGCCTGGCCCACAGTCAGGACAAATCTCTGTCACCTGCCAGTCCCACAGCCGCTCAGACCCAACCAAGTAAACACAGAGACTTATATTGCTTACAAACTGTATGGCCGTGGCAGGCTTCTTGCTAACTGTTCTTACAGCTTAAATTAATCCATTTCCATAAATCTATACCTTGCCACGTGGCTCGTGGCTTACCGGCATCTTCACATGCTGCTTGTCATGGAGACGGCTGGCAGTGTCCCTCTTCCCTTCCTGTTTCCTCAATTCCCCTCTCTGTTAGTCCCACCTATACTTCCTGCCTGGTCACTGGCCAATCAGTGTTTTATTTATTGACGAATCAGAGCAATTTGACATATAGACCATCCCACAGCAACAGACCAAACAAAGAATACCTCCAAAGTCCAACATGGGAACCAATGAATTGCGTCAGGGTTACTTACAGGGGCAGAGATGACACAAAGGCAGCTGTATCACCAAAAGCCCACCCGTGGATGATAGCTCACTAAAGCTGGGAATCTGAACTACCCTGCACAACTTGCAGACGGCTCCACAGTTTGTAGAGTGTCATTTCCAGGAAGCTCAGCTGGTCTGAGAGTGTATTCCAGCAGTCCTTACTGCTTATATATGCTTGGGGAGGTGGGGGCCTAGTGCATCTGTTCAGTTTCAGGGACCTCCCAAGATTTTTTGAGTTGTTTACTTTTTTAGTCTTAACCACTTGCCCTGCAGGATAGAATGCTTCTTGCCTCTTTTAGAACATCTTCACTTTTAATGAACTTCCCTCCATGATGGAATTTTTTTACTTTGGAGGAAATTGCTACACAAACCATGTCCTTATTTCTATATCATAAAAAGTTCCTGCTAAATAATGACGTTAAAAGATTTAGAGTTCTAGAAGCTAGGCTTAGATTGTTACCTATTATGTTGTGGGTACTTTAGCATTTTTGTGTCCTCCCAGAGCCAAAGGTATGACTCAAGTCTCATATTTCTGACTTAAAAAACAAACTTTGGGGGCTGGAGAGGTGGCTCAGTGGTTAAGAGCATTGGCTGCTCTTCCGAGGACCTGGGTTCAATTCCCAGCAACCAAATGGCAGCTCACAATTGTAACTCCAGTTCCAGAGGATCCAACACCCTCACACAGACATATATGCAAGCAAAACACCAATGTACATGAAATAAAAATAAATAAATTTTAAAAAGTGAATGGTAAGTTATTAAAAAAAAAACTTGTCATTTATAAACAGACCCGAATGTGGAAAAGGGTATCTATAAGGTGCTTCTAAAGGACTACGGCCAGGAGCTGAATGAGGGTTTACATGGATTCTGACTAGGGTTATTTGTAAATATTTTTCTCCAAGTAAGATGAGTCTCCTGGAAAAGCTTTTTAATGAATGATGTTAGGGTCTGATTAGCAGAATGAGGCTTAGCTACAGGGTGAGCAAT